CCCCATCCCATCCCCATCATATGAACCTTATATTAATGTGGCACTTGCAGCATTAATATTTCCTTATTTAACTTTAGATCGTAAAGAGACATTCATAGTTTAAATCTAAAAGCTGTTCTCTGGATCCTGACTGAATCTTATCTGTTTAACTCAGTGTGTGGTATTGTGAACTTGCGACATGAACTTGCGACATGAACGGGGACCTCAGCGTAACGAGCGCAACAGCACGGCCACTGACTGACACATTTGTGCTGCAGCTGGGGATTAGCGATGTCCGATTCGAGAACGAGTTGTTCCCGAGTCGAATCTTGTTTAATGAATCATTTTAATGAACCGGACTGAATCGGTTCGAATGGTCAGCAAGTATGGGATTACATCTCTGCCACAATTCTGCGTGCGAAAGATCATATTTTGAGCACGCAAAAGTGCGTTTTGCACACGTGCGAACTGAGTTTTGTGGAGAAAATGTTCGTCTCGCAAAGAAGAACGTATTTCGAGCGCACGAAAATCAATTTTGCATTTAAAATAAGTTTTTGGATTTATGCAGATCTTCTCTTTTGCGTGTGCAACGTTTCACTAGCTTGCTCAACTGATGCCCGCCCTCAGTGCTCTCTAAATGCCAACGGCTCGCTTGCTCAACACAACCCAGCATTACAATATGCCATAATTCCAGCCAATCAGAGACGTGGCTGCTAAATTCTGATTGGCTGCCTTGACAACCAATCACAACATTCCTTGCATTACCTCGATAGCAGAAGAGGAAAAATATAGTGCATGCATAATTATTATGCAAGTTGCTATTCTGATCATATTTTTTTTCCAAGCACATTTTACCAATTTCAAACGGCATCAATCTTAATAACTACTATTAATCTTGTATTTAATCATTTATAATTGATATATAATTATTCATGAAGGCTGGAAGTGAAAAATGTCTTATATTCAGGTGTGCATAATTATTAAGCAGATTTTCTTTTACAGATCAAATGAGCCAAAAAAAAAGAGAGATTTAACTCAGACTGAAATTCAAAAATTATTACATGCCCATGAGAAATATTCAAAACAAATAAAATACTAGAAATTGCAAAGTTAATGCATAACCATTGGACAGCAAAATGCATAGTGGGTCAGCAGGGTCAGTCAAAAACATGTAGAGAAGAAAAGATGCATGTTAACTGCAAAAGAATTAGGAATTAAGGTGAAGAATTAGGTGTGAAATCACCAGGAACCATTTAGTCTCCAGCGCCACCATTTTCCAGAACGGCAACCTATCTGGAGTCTCCAGAAGTACAAGTTGTCAGTAAGTTTGTCAGGTTCTCAGAGACTTAGGTGAAGTATAGAATCCAAAAGATGACCCCTACTTAATAAAAATCACATACTGAAGTGTAGTAAAATACTTGAAGACTGATTTTTTTATATAGGCTTTATATACAGATAAGTTGAGAGTGACTCTTGAAGGACCAGCACCACATCCTCTTGTACCACTGTTTGAAGAATTTATCTTCCAGAATCTGGCAGTAAGTTTTGGGAGTTCATTTTTAGTCCATCTCGAGATTTTATCTGTAGAAGATAACCTGCTTAATAATTATGCACACCTGAATATAAGGCGTTTTTCACTTCCAACCTTCATGAACAATAATATATCAATTATAAATGATTAAATACAAGATTAATAGTAGTTATTAAGATTGATGTTGTTTGTAATTGGTAACATGTGCTTGGAAAAAGATATAATCAGAATATCAACTTGCATAATAATTATGCATGCAGTGTATTTTCCCTCTTCCGCTGTCATCAGCAATGCAAGGAATGTTGTGATTGGTTGTCAAGGCAGCCAATCAGAATTTAGCAGCCTCATCTCTGATTGGCTGGAATTATGGCATATTGTAATGCTGGGTTGTGTTGAGCAAGCCAGCCGTCTGCATTTAGAGAGCACTGAGGGCGGGCATCAAGGGAGCAAGCTAGTGAAACATTGCACTCGCAAAAGAGAAGGTCTGCACACATCCAAAAATTATTTTAAATGCAAAATTGATTTTAGTGCGCTCTAAATATTTTTTTCTTTGTGAAACGAACATTTTCTCCACAAAACTCAGATCGCGTGCGTGCAAAATGCACTTTTGTGCGCTCAAAATATGATCTTTTGCGTGCAGAATTGTGGCAGAGATCTAACCCAATAACCAAGCTGACAGCTTGAAATTCACTCATTGCATCGCATTGCATATTATTTTGGTTTGTGAGATCAGAGATCGCGCTGCGCATGTGTACAAACATTCAGGAGGACACAAACTTCTTGAGAATGCTGCCCCCTGACTTTTATTAATAAAATAGATTAAATAGCCTACTGTAGAGACGCACAGACGCAGGTAGGCTAATTCACACAGGCAACTGTCACCTCTCTCTCTCTCTCTCTCTCTCTCTCTCTCATAATTAATTCAAGTAGCTAAATGTTATAATTAATTAATTTAAAAAAATGTGATCTTACATGTGATCTTTTTCATCTCTTTCTGATCTGAAGCGGGCAGAATGCTGAGCTAACGAGCTGTAGCTTTGCGTCAGGTGGTTCTTGCCTTCACGTCGTCAGGGCCGCATTAAGACCGCACTGGGCCCTGGGGCTATGACTTACTGCAGGGCCCCCCATCACCTTTCTCTGGTGAAAATAAAGCTTCGCTGTTTGGTCCCTCTGTCACAGTTCATCTAATGCATGTAGTAGCCTCCGTGACGTCATTTTAAGCTGGTGCACCGCTAGTGTAACTTTGTTTCCGTTCTGTGTAACAGAAACACTCGGTTTAGCGGAACCTTTACGATTAATTAACCGTGACGTTTTAAAGCCCGGTTAATCGCGAAACCGGTTAATCGCTGCATCCCTAACACACACACACACACAGACACACACACACACACACACCCACACAATATTACACTTATTCTCCACTGGTACTGTAGCTTTTCATTCACTCATTGTTTGAAGCAGTTCATTAAGAAATCTGGTCGAATAAGATGTGTTTTGTAGTTCTGACTTTTCATAGTTTTATTTCATAATTGTAAAAAGTGCAGTATATTTTTCTGTTTGTGAGCATTGTTACCTCATTTAGGGAGGGGAGAAATACAGAGTCCTGTCATAGCTTTCTGTCTGGATGTTTATGGTGTGGTTCACTACATTGGGGGAAGTCAGGTAAATCAAGGCACTTTTGACATTTAAAAAGAATGTGGTTTGATTTACCTGAATTTACCTCAGTTTGTCTGTTGAAACGCAGCTGAAATGGATCCATTATGAAAGAGGTCCATAATGGCTTGTTCAGGTGTGGGGGCAAACATGGGGGCACGGCTGTGCGTCAGATTACCTCTCATCATTAAATCTAGATCACTCTGGCTGTGAGCTGGGGAGCATTTGGTCCTCATGTTAAATGGACATTATAATAATACGAACCTTTAAATGAATAAGGCCGTTATTTTATCCCTGTGTTCTTCTTTCAGCCTCCTTTCTTGCTCTATTTTGTTCTCTCTCTGTCTTTGGCCTTCCTCCTCCTCCCTCTGTACCTCAGTCTTGTGCAAGAACATGTAGTAGTTAGTGCTGAAATGACCTTGGAATTATCCGGGTCTTTGAGCTTGATGTTCAGCAGGCCCACACATTACTCACAGTGTTTTAAACTGTGAGAAAAAGAAGAGGATAGTTTCATTATTAGGCTGGAGAGATGTATGAGCTTTCTGGAACAGCACACTGTTGCTGAAGTGAAAATAATGAGTGATGAATGAGTTTTTAAAGCATGTTCTTAAACTAAACTGAAATACTGCAGAGAAATATAGATGATCTGAACTAGGGATACACCAATGCACCAATATGATACTGATAAGCTGATCCTTTCCAAAATAATGTAACACTACAAACTAAAAATCAATTGTTTTAAATTCAACAACTAACTTTAAGCAACACAGCATTAGAAAGTATGAAAATTTTATTTTTTTAAATATTTTTTTTTTCCATAGATCAAAATGGAATGGATGATTTTAAGATCTGCTAAAGATTACATTTAAGTGAACAGTGTTATTAAATTCAATTATTTGTGTTTTTAAATATTACATTTAAGCGTTACACTGGAAAAAATGGCATAGAAACAAATTTCACGTAGAAATTGCTAGTAAATTTCACAATTAAATATGAAAAACAGCATGTACTGTAATGCATTTAATTAAATGTAAATGTAATTTTGAGGTAGGAATACTTAGTATTTTATTGTAAAATATAATTCAATCTTTGTATTATTTGCAGTTTAAAAAAAAAAATGTTTGCAGTATAGTTGACAGCAAATGTCATTTAAATGTTTAAATATGTGAAAATGAGCATGCATAATTAATTCTAATATTTACTGATATTAATACATTAACGAATCTCAAGTATCTGATAAACAAATACAATACCAATATACTGTGCATACATAATCTGAACCCCATTAGGATTGTGCACAACTCATATGCATTACAAAAGTCACTGTTATATATAAAGCTTTCTTGGGACCATTGTCACCCCTACAGCTAAAAGCATTTAAAACTCAAAATGAACTAAATCCTTTGATGTGTTATGTCACACCGGAGTAATTACACCCAGCATTGTGCCTTAGACATGTTGAAATTAAGATCAGCTCTTTAAAAAAGAACATGTCAAGTCCAAGACTTCATTTGTTTGAGAGCTGTTGTAGTAAATGAAACACTGTTTGACTTTAACATCTTAATTTAATTCCCATTATGTGTTTCCTCAGGAGTTTTCTAAAGACATGGATTGATATGACAATTCCCTTGTCAGGAACAAAATCTTTGAGTAAACTGTAAGAATTACAGCGAATTCAAACATAGAATGGCCCGTAAATTATGCCACTTGTCTTTCTCTCAGCCATCACCATTTCAGTGATGACATCTGGATAAAAAGCCATTTTACTCAGACCTTTAATGGAGTGCATTTTATCGAGCTATGATGGA